TTTTTTATTTTTTTTATTTTTTTAAACAGTGATTCTAGTTAGTGCGTGACAGTAACCTGTAAGTGTAAAATTTTTGATTCAAAAAGTTTAAGTGATTTGGTTGTATTTACTGACAACAAACAATTAAAAACTTCATATAGAATGCCTGTGAAGAACTGAAAATTGAGCTGGTTTTGCTTGGATGTAGTACTCTTCTTTTATCATTTGACTTCTGTGTCTCAAGCTCTTGAATACTCTTCATCTTATCCCCACTAGCCTTTATGCCAGCTAGTTTTTGATGTCCTAATTTAAGTTGTTGTTTACAGGGCAAGAAAAGGAGAGACACAGTCTGCATAGCTCTTGCTGATGAAACATGTGATGAGCCAAAGATCAGAATGAACAAGGTGATCAGGACAAACCTAAGGATTCGCCTTGGTGATGTTGTGTCTGTTCACCAATGTCCAGATGTCAAGTATGGAAAGCGCATCCATGTCCTTCCACTTGATGACACCATTGAAGGTGTCACAGGAGACTTGTTTGATGCATATCTGAAACGTAAGTCTACTTGCACAACATTTGATTCAGTCTTTCTATCTTAATTCCTCTCTAATTATTCTAAACAACATTCTTGCAGCCTACTTCTTGGAAGCATATAGACCCGTAAGGAAAGGAGACCATTTTCTTGTTAGAGGAGGAATGAGAAGTGTAGAATTCAAGGTAATTGAAACAGATCCAGGGGAGTATTGTGTTGTTGCCCCTGATACTGAAATCTTTTGTGAGGGTGAGCCCATCAAGAGGGATGATGAGGATAGATTAGATGAAGTTGGGTATGATGATGTAGGTGGTGTCAGAAAACAAATGGCACAAATTCGTGAACTTGTGGAATTACCATTAAGACACCCTCAACTTTTCAAGTCTATTGGAGTGAAACCCCCTAAAGGAATCTTACTCTATGGACCCCCTGGTTCAGGAAAGACACTTATAGCAAGAGCTGTTGCTAATGAAACAGGAGCTTTCTTTTTCTGCATCAATGGACCTGAAATCATGTCAAAGTTGGCTGGAGAGAGTGAAAGCAATCTCAGGAAGGCTTTTGAAGAGGCTGAAAAGAACGCCCCTTCGATTATTTTCATTGATGAGATAGATTCAATAGCTCCAAAGAGAGAAAAGACGAATGGTGAAGTTGAAAGAAGGATTGTGTCACAGCTTTTGACACTTATGGATGGATTGAAATCGCGTGCTCATGTCATTGTCATGGGGGCCACTAATCGCCCAAATAGTATCGACCCTGCTCTTAGGAGATTTGGTAGGTTTGATAGGGAAATTGACATTGGTGTCCCTGATGAAATTGGGCGTCTTGAAGTCCTTCGTATTCACACAAAGAACATGAAACTTTCTGATGATGTAAGATATATATATTTTTTTCCCTTAAAGTTATTCGATTACTAATCGAGTGCTAACAAGTTTTGTAATCTTAAACAGGTTGATTTGGAAAGGATAGGTAAAGAGACACATGGATATGTAGGTGCTGACCTGGCTGCTCTTTGCACTGAAGCTGCACTTCAATGCATTAGAGAAAAAATGGATGTTATTGACTTGGAAGATGAATCTATCGATGCTGAGATTCTTAACTCCATGGCTGTCTCTAATGAACATTTCCAAACTGCCCTTGGCACAAGCAATCCTTCTGCTCTTCGTGAAACTGTATGTTGACCTTTTGACTTTTAATTTTTAGTTTTTAAATATAACATCATGTAATTATTCATCATTCATTATTGGTTTAAAAACAGGTTGTTGAGGTTCCAAATTGTAGCTGGGATGACATTGGAGGCCTTGAGAATGTCAAGCGTGAGCTTCAAGAGGTAACTAAACTCTGAAATTGAGAAATTACCGTTTTGCCCTTTTGTTTTTTTCTAAACTTTTTTTTTTTTTTTTTTTTTTTTTTTTTTTTTTTTTTTTTAAATTTTAGACGGTTCAATACCCAGTGGAGCATCCGGAGAAATTTGAGAAGTTTGGTATGTCACCATCTAAAGGAGTTCTGTTCTATGGTCCACCTGGATGTGGAAAGACACTTTTAGCCAAGGCTATAGCAAATGAATGTCAAGCAAACTTTATTAGCATCAAAGGACCCGAACTACTAACAATGTGGTTCGGTGAAAGTGAAGCCAATGTTCGTGAAATTTTCGATAAGGCCCGTGGATCTGCGCCATGTGTCCTCTTCTTCGATGAACTCGACTCAATTGCAACTCAGGTTAGCTTCTTTTTTCCTCAAATAAATAATGAAGTGTAATTTACAAGTTTAGTCCCTGTAGTATAAATTTTTGTAACTTGTAACTTTAATGATTACAGAGGGGGAGCAGTTCTGGAGATGCTGGGGGTGCTGCTGACCGAGTTCTGAATCAGTTACTGACCGAAATGGACGGAATGTCTGCAAAGAAAACCGTTTTCATAATCGGGGCAACTAACCGACCCGATATCATCGACCCGGCATTATTACGTCCGGGTCGTCTGGATCAGTTAATTTATATTCCATTACCAGATGAAGACTCCCGTCACCAAATCTTCAAGGCTGCTATGAGAAAATCACCCGTTTCAAAAGACGTTGATCTGCGAGCTCTTGCTAAATACACTCAAGGCTTCAGTGGGGCCGACATTACAGAGATATGTCAACGCGCATGCAAGTACGCCATCCGAGAGAACATCGAGAAAGTAAGTTTTTTATTTTTTTTAAATACTATTTATATAATATAATGTTTGGAAAGTTGGTTGCTAAAATATAATGATGGAATTGTAGGATATAGAGAGGGAGAGGAAGAGAAGCGAGAATCCCGACTCCATGGATGAAGATGAGGATGAGGTGGCGGAGATAAAAGCAGCTCATTTTGAGGAATCCATGAAGTACGCGCGAAGAAGTGTGAGTGATGCGGATATAAGAAAGTATCAGGCGTTTGCTCAGACGTTGCAGCAGTCGAGGGGATTTGGGTCGGAGTTTAGGTTTTCTGAAGCGACATCTGGCGGTGGTGCGGCGGATCCGTTTGGTGTGGCTGCTGGTGGGGCAGCGGCGGAGGATGATGATTTATATAGTTAGGTTTTATTTATTGTGGGTGATTTATGGATATTTTATTTTATTTTTCAATTTGTGCATTTCCCTGATTTAAGTCTGCATTGTCAGATTTGAACATATAAGTTTATGTATGGTTAACTTGCACTTTATTTAGTTGGAAATATTTGCGTTTCTTATATTTTGTTTATGTATGTGATGCATAATCGAAGTACGCAAATACAATTTACAATTTACACTTCAGTAATTTATAATCGCAATTACAGCAGCATGCATATCATGAGGATATTTCATATTTATAATATTTGTTCATGATGATATGATTTTCATGTATTATATTTCGAAATTACATGTGTTTACGTATATAAAATATAAAATGATAAAATATGTAAACGTTGGGAAAAGAATAAAGGAAAGTGTATATATATATATATATATATATATATATATATATATATATATATATATATATATATATATATATATATATATATATAATTAAATTAAGGGTAAATTACACGGATAGTCCCTGTGGTTTAGGGTAATCTGCGTGTTTGGTCCCTAACAACTTTTTTTAACTCGGACCGTCCTTACTTTATATTTTTGTTGCACGCTTAGTCCCTATCTAACCTAAAAAGACTATTTTGCCCTTAATGACTATTTTTATTTTGTTAGTTCTTTTTATATTATTCCAGTTATTATTAATAAATTAAATTATTAATATATTGCTGGAAAAATGATTGATTCCAGCTTAATCCTCTACGGTTCTTACCACCACCTCCAGTCACCGGCACCAAATCCGGTCATCATCTCCGGCCAAAGATCCATACCACATAAATTATCCAAAAATCAAAATAAAGCCATCTAACGTTCAACACTAAATCTGAATATACATCTAAAACCAAACTTGTAACTCAAATTCAACACCAAAATAAAACCAGAATATGATGTTGAATCCTAGAAGAAAACCAGATTCAGGTGAATCCCCCTACCCTTTTGTCGAAAGTAGAAGAAGACCTTTTGATGCCTTCACCGCTTAACGCCTATCCAATCGATGAGGTATCCTAGAAATAATTGTGGTCTTGAAAATCAATGAAAATAAAGAAGATCGATGATGGGAAATCGACATTTGAAACCCAAAAATCCAGTCTAGAGACCGATAATATCAATGATAAACCAAATCGTTTTTTGTTCCATGTGAGAGAAGGGGTAATTCAGTGGGTTCGAAACTGAATAAAGGGGGGAACAAATAAAGACCCTACCGATCTTCAGAAACCCTAGAATCCATCTTCACCATTGCCAAAGTATTTTTCCCACGAACAAGAACAAAAATTGGTGCTTCAGAAACCCTAGTTCCCATCGCCGGCTGCCATGGTTGAGCTTTCTACAATTTCCGACATATAATAACAAGAGAACAAGGTGTGAAAACCCTAGATCCCTTACCAGGTTGTGCGATTTGTAGTTTATGTTTGCCAAAGAAACACCGACTTTCGACGTTGGTTCTTTTTTATTTAATATTGCATCTGATTGGTGGCGGTGGCTCGCCGGAGAATATATAAGTGGTGGTGTTGCTGGTTTGTTTGAGAAGGACACGAAAACGATGGAGGTGGAGGGTGGGGTTTTATGGGAGGGGCTGAGGAGGTGGGCCCACATATCTAATTAATATTTTTTTTCATATATATTAATATTTGTTTTTAATAACTAATATTTTAAAAAATGGTAAAAGAAATCAGTAAGGGTAAATTAGTCTTTTTAGAACGGACAAGGACTAAGCGTGCAACAAAAATATAAAGTAGGGACCGTCCGAGTTAAAAAAAGTTGTTAGGGACCAAACACACAGATTACCCTAAACCACAGGGACCATCCGTGTAATTTACCCTTAAATTAAATACCGTGATAGGGCCAACTCAGAAATCTTCGAACTTAACAACTTCAGAAATCTTTTCAAAACTCGCCAAACAAGATGTCGATCCAAAAAACCCTCCAAAACCTCAAATGTATCAAGAAGTATGGCAACCTTCCTACCAACACACACCGGAAAGTGGCCGAGGTCGTCATCTCTTATGCCTCCAAAACAACCACAACCACTGAAACCCCTGCTGCCGTTCTCTCCACCCTTACTTCCGACATAGTCAGATTGGTTCTCTCAGACAGGCGTATAAAGACTCGCGAATGCCTATCGTTCTTCAACGTCATCTCAGAAAACCGATCTTTAATCCCGTTCACTATCGAAATAGAACACTACGTGACACTAATTCACAGGGCGATATACTCAAGGAAGTTTGAAGATGCCGAGACTCTTATAAATTCATTAGCAAATGATGGAAATCTCAGGTACCCATTTTCAGATGTAGTTTCCCTTGCTGAGAGCCAAGGTTTTGATTCTAGGATTTTGTCAACATTGTTTAATTTGATGCTAAAAGTTTATTCGGATAGTGGGAAGTTCTTTGCGGCTTTTGAGACTTTCAATTATATGAGAAACAACGGGATAACAATTGATGAGAGGACGTGTGGTATTTACTTGACTGCACTCCTGAGATGTGAACATTTAGGATTAGGTTTAGTTTTCTTTTACAAAATGGTGGAATCTGGTATGGATGTTTCGGTTGTGATCAACGGATTGTGTCAAAATGGGGAGATCAGAAGGGCTAGACAATTAGTTGAGGCTGTGTGCAGGAGTGTTGAACCTAATGTGATTACTTTCAATACTTTAGTCAATGCATGCTGCGAAAGAAAGAATCTTAAAGAGTTGGATTTGGTATTACTGTTGATGGAGAAGGAAGGGGTGGAGCGTAATTTGGAAACCTACAAGCTTATAATAGATGGGTTTTTGAACTTTGGGAATCTGGGGGGCGCTGAAAGGATGATTGCAGAGATGCATGACAAAGATTTCCACGTGGGGATCTATCTGTGGAATTCAATCATTCACAAGTACTGTACATCAGGTAGGATGGAGAGTGCATTCCAAGTGTTCGATGAAATGCTTCACAGAGGTATTGCTCCTAATGCACATACATTTCATATCATGGTTAGTGGGATTTGTGGGATTGAGAAAATGGAGGCTGCAAAGGAGTTAGAAAAGAAGATGGTAAGAAATGAGATTGAGTTGGACCATGATATATTCAGTGATTTGATCAATGAGTGTTGTAAAAAGGAGAAGCTTGATGATGTTATTGACCTGCTTTCAACAATGGAAAAGAAAATTGACAACCTTCCATCCACCACCCAAGTAGCTTACCTAAAAATGGCTGATGTCATCATCTCCTCCGCCACCCAAATATCCACCACCACTAAAACCACCGCCGCCATTCTCTCCACCCTTACTCCCAACATTGTCAGATTGGTCCTCTCAAATCGGCGAATCAAGACTGGTAGATGCCTATCATTCTTCAAAATCATCTCAGAAAATCAATCTCTACTCCCATTCAAGATCGAAACAGAACACTATTTAACACTGATTTGCAGGACAATAAAGTCATTTAAGTTTGAAGATGCAGAGACTCTTATAAATTCATTAGCCAATGAGGGGAATCTCAGGTACCCATTTTCAAATGTAGTTTCTTTTGCTGAAAGTCAATGTCTTGATTCTGGAATTTTGTCAAAAATGTTCAATTTGATGCTAAAAGTTTATTCGGATAGTGGGAAATTCATTGAGGCTTTTGAGACTTTCAATTATATGAGAAACAACGGAATTGCAGTTGATGAGAGGACGTGTTTTATTTACTTGATTGCCCTCCTGAGATGTGAACATTTAGTGTCAGGATTAGTTTTCTTTTACAAAATGGTGGAATCTGGCATCCATGTTTCGGTTTATTCTTTGACAGTTGTGGTAGACAGATTGTGTAAAAATGGTGAGATCAAAAAGGCTAGAGAATTAATCGAGGCTGTGTGCAAGAACATTGAACCTAATGTGATTACTTTCAATACATTAGTGGATGCATGTTGCAAAAGATGGAATTTTAAAGAGCTTGATTTGTTATTAGTTTTGATGGAGAAGACAGGGGTGGAGCTTAATTTAGAAACCCACAAGTTTTTAGTAGACGGGTATTTAAGCATTGGGAAGCTTGGAGATGCTGAAAAAACAATCATGAAAATGCACGATAAAGATTTGATTGTGGAGATCTATTTATGGAATTCAATCATTTTTAAGTATTGTAAATTAGGGAGAATGGAAAGTGCATTCCAAGTGTTTGATAAAATGCTTCAGAGAGGCGTTGTGCCTAATGCAGAGACATTCCGTATCATGGTTAGTGGGATATGTGGGATTGGGGAAATGGAAGCTGCAAAAAAGTTGGCAAATAAGATGCAAAGGAAGGAGATCGAGTTGGGGCATGATGTTTTTGATGATTTGATCAATGGGTGCTGTAAAAAAGGGATGCTTGATGATGCAGTTGGACTGCTTTCAATGATGGAAAAGAAAGGATTGTTTGGTGATGCACGTTTGTATAACATGGTCATTGTTGGTTTATGTGAGTTGGATCGTGTTGAAGAAGCAAGCAGACTTTTGAGCATTGTGGTGAAATGTGGAGCAACCCCTGAAACAAGTTTTATCCAGTTTTTGGCAAATGGTTAAAACTTAAAAAAGTATTGTATGCTTTTGATTGAACTATGGTCTTATACACATTGGAATTGAGCCATGTGAAATAGGCTCACCACATGCCATGAATCCAGAAAGGCAAGTAAAGATTGTGGAATGAGTGATGCCGATTCCTCTGGACAACAAATACAAGAAGCTCAAATGGCATGATTTTGAACTAGAGTTTAGCGCATGCAGACATTTAAAAGATGTGTGCTTCCTGCAAGTTGCATCAAACACTAGCCAAAAGCCTTTCACCCAAGGTCATGCATGACCCATGGTATGCACCAAGGCTTGCTTCTTTGATTTAATGGTGAAGTTTTGAGGTTTCTGGTTGCTTTGTATTTCTGATGGTTCATTGTAGATTGAGTATATGTTGTTAGATGTATTATTCAACACATTTCATTATGATTTTTATTGATGACATTCCTATAACAAGTAATAATAAGTATATGCTATGTGAGACATAGTTTCCCACCAAGAAATTTTGACATGTAAGATCCCAATGAAGTCTCTTATGTTATTGGCATGAGATACACCCAAAAAGGACTTATAGAGAAGTTAACAACCCTGGTCCCATACAAATAGGGTGACCGGAGGTAGGACGAACATAACTCCTATCACTGGATAGAGACTGTTTTCGTAGAAGACTTCTGTAAAAAAAAATAGTAAAATAATAATAATAATAATAAATATAATAATAATAATAATCATAATAATAAATAAATAGATAATTTATATGTATGTGTCCACACTAAGAAAATCCCTGCATAATATTATTATACGCAAAAGTATCAACTCATGATGAAGAAACAATGATGCGTGTTTGAGGAAAAAACTACTAGAGGAATTCAATCTACGAATAGATGATTAAAAACAAGTCAAACATGAATGGACACACAAATAATTATAGTAGATAGTTAAAGTGAGTTGGAAGTAGATATTAAGAGCACAAGTTGAATTTATAGGAACCATGAGTAGGTAGGTGAAAATTTACTAGTCAACAAAAGAAAAATAAATTAGACCCTAGACTATAACACCACTACTCTGGTATACTAATTTTTAGTCTCCATTCTCTCTTATTATAGGTCATGTCCTTGATAAGAGTTACCTCTTTCAAGTCTAACATCACATTATCTTCCCACTTCCTTTTTGGTTGACCTCTACTCTTTTGCCCCCTTGAGTGTGATCGTCTCCACTCGCCTAACAACGACCGGTGGTTATCTTCTATGGACATGTCCAAACCAACACAATCCTCTTTCCCTTAATTTGTCAACGGTCGACGTCACTCCCAACTAATTCGTAACTGCCGTGTTTGGTATCTTGTCTTATAACGTTCTACCACGACAACCACAACATTTACATTTTTGCGACCTCCATCTCTCTCTCTCTCTCTCTCTCTCTCTCTCTCTCTCTCTCTCTTTAACTGACCAACATTCATATTCATACAACAAAGTTTGTCTAATCGCTACCCTATAAAATTTCCTCTAATTTTTAAGAGCACCTTCTTGCCACACAAAATTCTCGTTGTTGCCCTCTATTTTAACCATTCTGCCTTTATGTGGTATGTAATATCACCCTCTACATTCCCTTCGATATGGATAATAGACCCCATATACTTGAAATTCTATTTTGGGTGTAAAACATGCTCATCAATGCAAACTTTTATTCTTTCAACGTTTCCCTACTAAAATTACACCAACTATTGTTTTAGTAGTGTTGATATGAAACCCCTTTCTTCTAATGATGTCTTCCAAGTATCCAACCTAGCATTCAACTCAACTCTAGACTCTTCCATGAGAACCATGTCATCATCAAAAAACATACACCATGGGGTCTCTTCTTGGGTCTCACAATAGATAGTATCCATAATCAAAGCAAATAAGTACAAACTAAGAGCCGATCCTTGATGAAGCTCAATTTCAACTTGGAATGGCTCTGTGTCACCAATTACAACTCGGACGCATGTTGTAGATCGACAATACATATACCGTATAGCCCTAATATAGCTCATTGAGACGCTATCATATGTCTTTTCAAGGTCAATGAATGACATGTGGAGATGCTTATTTTTTCTTGATATTTCTCAAAAGAATTATATTAGAGTAAATTACACAAATAATAGAATACAAACAATTAATTTATTAATAAAAAGGATATCAATTGTTTAATAGTATTTTAACTTCTCGAACATTTTAATATCAATAAGAATTTCAAAAACATAATAAAAATAAATATTATATATATATATATATATATATATATATATATATATATATATATATATATATATGTGAAAGAGAAAGATGGAGAGAGAAAAAGAAGAGAAAAAAAATATTTTTTTGGAAAAAATGTAATGATTAATGTTTAGAGTAGGTATAGTATGATAAAATTGATAGATTGGTGTGTCTTTAGTAGCACCCTTATATTAATTCGTTTCTCAATATATACATCATGTAAATCTAAATCTATTCCCTTACTGTTGCCAATGTAGTAACGGTGGAAGAGTTTGGTATATCAATAAAAACGCGGTGAAAGAGGAAATTTACAAGGCATAAGTCGATAATATAGGGGGAAGAAAAGAATTAAATAACAAAAACATGATTATAAGACTTTATCTATAGTCTTATATAAAGAATTCTAAAGACCCTAAAACTCCTACATAGAACTAGGAAACTTGGAAACATGTAAACAACTCCTCACTTATTAAAAATTTGGCTCTCCCATTCAGTAGACTCCAAAACCATCAATGCAACAGACCATTGGAAAGCAACCATGAAGGTATTATACTTACAATGGACAAAAGAGTACCTATTAACTTATAGGCAACAAATACCCTTGAAGTTGGTTATTCCGGACTCTAATTTTGCGAAATGAAAACATAACAAGAAGTCAACTTGAGTGTACATATTCATGACATCACGAGGGCCAATATCTTAGAGGAACCTTATGGGTGGACTAAAATTCATTAACTAACTCCAACAAGTTATACTTTGATAATAATGTCGTTATCAGTTTTTCGAACAATACTAGTTCTAGTGGAAATAGCCTTTTATGTAACGTCATGATGTATACTAATATATTATGAAATTAATATTGACTATTTTTTATTCACATCTATTGTGGTTGCATCTTTCACATTATGTTTCACATTTTGTCTTGAACTACCGAATATTGTCAGAACATTTATTAGAATGAAGGACAATTTGCATTATTCGTAACCATGTGAATTGTGTTTTGTATCGCCATAACTTCATACCATATTCATACTATGTGAACTTATGCAATCTTTAATTTCATGGAAACACTAAACATATATTTGACGAGGTCTCAACTAACCATATCCTTCCTACTACAAAGTACAAACACAAACTTACATTCTTAAATTCCAAGTTAACAAAGACAACAAACCCACAAAACTAAAGTTAAGGATGATCAGGAGATAATGTAGCAGTAATCCTCGACAATGTTGGGCTCAATGGCCCATCCTTACCAAAGCACGAAATACTATGCGATCTTCTCTTCACCTTAAAGCTTCCAGAATACAACAACCTTTTCTCCTTGATCGCATAACTAGGGTTTGGGTGTCCTGAATCAGGACTTGGCTCACTTTTGGCTCTCAAAAACCGGTCAAGATTTTGACTATACTTGTCCCCATAATGATTGTTATTAATCGCATTATGTTGCTTAAGTTCATCATCAGTAAAGTAACCATTTTCTTGAATATCTTGCATTGCCAGGTCATCATACTCCTCATCTGATTTCGTCGACTCTTCATCCACTGAACCTTCCATCTATAAAACAAACCCATCAACATTATATCATCAACAATCAAAAAACAATATAAAAACGAATGTGTTATGTCATATGTGTATGTACCTCTTCATGCATATGTTCTTTAGCATCATCACTAAGATCTTCATCACTATCTACATCTAGTTGATCATCAACCTCTTCATCGCTTCCAAACACCGATTGCTCCTCCTTCAACTAAAATATCAGTCAGAAAAACATAACCAAGTGAAAGAGAGAAAGAGAAAGGGTATTTTGGTCTTTTTTGTTCTTGTTTGATTACCTCTTTAGAAGGTCCATCAGAGGCCTTAGGCGAGCTGCAACATGAAGAATGGTATCTACTACCATTGTCAGTAAGCTCGCCTCTTGACTCATCAACACTACTTGCATGACTAGTGCACCCAAGGTCACTAGGCCAAGCACTGATTCCAAAGTTACCAAATTGGAGATTCACAGGTTCCGCTTTTCCAATCTGTAATGGTCCATACATCGGAATCCCAATTCCTATTCCTATTCCATTACTCTCGTCAGTTGGATGTCCTAAAACCGGCTTCCCATCAGCATCTACAGAACAAACAGGCCATGCTTTTGCAACAGATCCATCATCGTTTAACAGAGCCATTAAATTCCTTGAAGAGCCTTGTCTTTGGATCAATTGAAACATTCCCTTTGAGCTGAGTGAGTTAGCGACACATTGATTCCTATATTCCTCATCGATTACAAAAACCGTGTTAGTGGTAGAATCATAAAGCTGTTCTCCAGCTTCGCGTCTTCTTAAACAGCTGAAAACTGTCGCGTGTATAGCTGCAACACTTTTGTCAACATTGGTGTTATTTACTTTTGGAACTAGATGTTTGTCTGCTCGATTGCAAAGGTACTCTTGGATTGTTCTGATGTTTCTTATGTATTTTACGTATTTGTTTTTTGCAGGGTCTAAAGTCATGTACTTTGCACGAACTGCAAATCTTTCCATGTGTTTGTCCTCGTTTGTAATGTATATCATGAATGGGATGATTGATGGATGTTTCTTCATTAACCCCATCTGCATTTTTCATAAAAACTTGGCATCAAGAACTTAAGTTAGATGTCCAAAGTGGAAAAAGATTCAAACTTTTTTATTTATTTATCATACCACAAAGTTAAGGCTCAAGTGAACACCCTCAACAACGACTGATTCTTTTCTCTCTTCCCATGCTGTGATGAGT